ATATTTATAAAGATGTTTTAATTCGAAATATTTCTCAACCTACATCAATACATCAGTTCTATTCCAAATTCATTTTCTTGCAATTTTTTCTGTAACTCTTCAACAAGACAGACTATAAAATATGAAATAATTTAAAATGGAATGAAAATATACCATTGAAATATCCATTCTTTAAAATGACATCAAATTTGCTTGGGCTCCATTCTCTCCAATAAAAGTAGTTAAATAAAGCTTTTTTTTTTTTTTAAATCAAATGTAAGGCTTGACTAATCAAGCTAAATAAAACAAGACAGCTGTTCTAACCAACAGACTCAACAACATCTTTTTTTTTTATACCATAATTAAAGATGATATAGAATCGACAACTGATAGTTAGCATAAGGACCAAATAGAATTCATATAGTATGCATAAATGTTATACATACATAATGCGCTTAATTGTACGTGTATCTATGCGTGCGTGGCCATTAGATGTATTATACGTGTGTTTAAGTATGCTTAAGAATTTTATATATTTGAATAAATTATTCGTTTTTTTTTTCTTCCAATCGTATTTCGATATATGGCTTATTTCCAGTTAAAATATGTATCAAAAATTTAAATATTATATATGTTGATTTTGGGATGTTTAATTTTAGGTTCTCTTGTAAAATCAATAATTTTTAAAGTTGTTTTAACTTCAAAAGCAGCCAATATCGAATTTTGATTCCCATAGGGTTTTCTCAAGCCGGTCTCCTCAATTTTCTTCAGCATCTGAATAGCATCATCATGTTTTCCGTCAAATTTATTCAATCCTTTTCTTTTCTTTCGCTTTTCTCGTACCACCTACTTTGTTGACATATGTATTGACGTTTGTAAGTCTGATAAAACGATAATAACTAAAAATGCCAAGATGGCTACATCAATTTCAATACAAATTCACCAACCAGCTGGCCATAATGCCTTTTTTAAGGTATTCATCATTATTTCCTACTTTTTTAAAAGTATTATAACATGAATTCTATCCGACAAATATCATATTTTTGTTTTAAAATAACATCAATTTATAACGATACTTGACCTCAATATCTTCTATGCAAATTTAAAAGTTTTATATTTGATAAATATTTTTCAGGGTTATACGACGTCAAATTCTTACCAAACTCATTTCTCCTCATTTTTTATTGATTGCAGTTTGCATTCTATATATGATAATCGGAGCGTGGATATTTCAAATACTTGAAGGACGTCATCTCAAAGTTTGCAAAATTTTTTAGCTTTAATAATAATTAAACGATTTAGTCAGATATTAAAAATGCTACTTATTATGGATTAAAATTAGAGAAAAATGTAAAACGTTTAAATTTCATAATCCGTAATTTATTCTATATCAAATTAGTAGTTAGGTGATGTAGGCGTTCAAGTTTTTGATTTTTTTTTTTTTTTGGGAGGAAAAGACACAAAGTCTTTTTTTGCTTTCTTTGTGGTAATTATTAGCAATTATTTCCGGTTGAATAACTATTTATAAATTCAGTTGCATCGTTAAATAAGCGTTGAAATGGTCGAGCCATTAATTTTAATACATCGTTGTTAGTGTTAATGCAATTCAGCTATGGCCAATGTCCATTTTTACGCCTTATATTTTTGAACTTATTTAAATATTTTTAAACATAAAAATTGAAAGAATGATAACGAAGTTCTTTTCATATAAAATTCTTTTTTTTTTCACATACATATGGAATTATATCATACTTTTATTAAAGGATCATTTCAATCCATGAAGTTTCATAAATGTTAAAATATGCCTAATTTACACTGCAAGAAACACAATATTATCACTATTAAAATAAGAAAAAAAAATATATGTTGAAAATTATTATAATTTTAGGATATGAAAGCAGCTCAATTAAGCAGGATTGATGTAAGCGTAGAAAAATATATCGATCGAATTTGGGATTTAACGCATTCTGAAAATGATCAAAAAATGGACAGATCAAAGTTGAAAGAAATATTCAAACAGGAGAGTAAAGAACAATTTTATGAAGTAAACAAATTACTATATTAATTATTTTATTACAGCAAATTTTAATTGTTTTATTCAAATAGGCATATTTTATGGAATAATTTATTTTGATGATCAAAAATTATGATGATATCATGAAGATATTTAGGATTAGTGGATCTTGTATCTTTTTACCTATGATTTATAGTACGTGGATACGGTATTTGCTGCACACCTTAAATATCGACATGGTTACGATACAAATGCTCCAAGTTGGGACTTTATTACATCATTTTTCTTTACGGCAACGATGCTAACATCAATTGGATATGGTTATGTTGCACCATCAACATTTTGTGGCCGCTTATTTGGTGTCATCTATTGTCTCGTTGGTAAAATGTTTGATTAAAATTGTTTATGATTAGATGGATACTATTTGTATGGTTGGTGATCAAATGTAAGTAGCACTATCAGTAGCTGTTATCATTTATTGATTCAATTTCTGCAACTTGTATCAAAATTTCAGGAATTCCATTAACACTGGTTACAGTGGCTAACATTGCAAAGTTTATATCAGAATGCGCTTTTTTGCTTCATTACAATTGTTGGAAAAAATTGACGACATGGAGGGATCGTCGGAAGGGCATTAAGATTCATGAGCTTCGACCAATTTTTGATGACAACGATGATGAACAAGTTTTAAATTCTGATTACTCCTCTTAAATTAGTCGTTTTAAAATAGTGTCGTTATTTCATTTTAAATTAGTGTTTTAATAATTTGAAGAAAGGTCAGCTGATGAATATTAATTAGGAAATGAGCCTCGTTCTTATTAAAATACTGGTAGCATTTTTTTTTTTTTGGAAATAAATGTGTGTTCTTTCTGCATTAAAAAATTTTTCACACTAAAATACTTAAAAATATCTTTAAAATATTTAATTTTATCATCCAGTCATCCTGATCAGGTGCACCTCTGAGAATGAATGATTTTTTTTTTTTTTATTTCCAATTTTCTTATATAGCCAATGTTTTGACATGACAAATGTAGTTTAAAGTATATTTGATGAAAAATAAATATGCTGGCATTAAACTTTTTGTTTTGTTTATTTATCGAATATTCTGATATAATAAATCGGAGAATTAGAAAAAAAAAAGGCGGCATCTCTGAGAATTAAAAATTTTGTGGCTTAGCATTTTCTATTTCACTTTGAATTTTTATATTTCAGGAATTGTTAGATAAAGTAAAGCTTGTTCGTTTTCCACCAGTAATTTTATTTTTAATTTTATTCTTCTATGGACTTTTTGGTTCATATATTATTCAAAAGAAGGAACACTGGACTTACATAGAAGCAGTATATTTCACATTTATCAGCATTTTAACAGTTGGTTGGTATTATTTTGTGCTCATAAGTTCTTAAGTTAATTTTCAAGCTCCGAATTTAAAAATTAGCGCTAAAAATTACTCAGTCAACTATTATTATTACTTTAGACAAATGGTGCATAATTGAATAACATAGCAAGAAATTGAAATTGATGGTTATTTACTTAACAAATTAAAAACCATTCTTTTCTTTAACTTTAAAAAAAATCAATAACCAAAATTGACGGAATATTCTTGAATACAGGTTTTGGTGATTATCGTCCGGAACAGCAAAATATGCTAGTAGTTTTATGTGTCATTATGGGTGGCATAATTTTGACAACAATGTGCATGGATGTAGTTGGTCGAATGTATCTGAAGGAAATTCATTACATTGGTCGTAAAATTCAAACCAATAATCCATTCTTTCTGATTCGTGAAGCAAAAGCAAGGTGTGTTTGTGTGTATGTGTGTATGCTTTCCGGATGAAAATATTATTTCGAAATAATCAAATTATCACTGTTTTATTATGACTAATCTTCCATATTATTTTATTTTATTTGATATGAACTTTCATCTTTTAGCTTTCTTGCATTTTTTCCATTAAAAATTTCTTCATGCGGGCAAAATGATATATATTATTTTCTACTGATTATTTTCAATGTTAATCAAATAAGAGTTAAAGAAGATAAAGAGTTATTCATTCAATTTTACTTTCAGATGGCTTGACGGATATTTTATCATCAGTGGAATATTTTAATTATTTTTTGCCATTTATCCTTCATAAGCTTAATTAAAATTTAGGCGACGACGACAAGCAACTGCAAGCATGCTTTTGGAATTTGCGAAAGGTATGGTATTCGATCATAATGGTAGTCAAATGGGTATGATGGCCAGGAGAATGAGTAGAAAGTTTCAAAAACGTGGACCACGCATGTGTAAGTTTTAGCTATAAGAGTAATTCGAATTGTATTACAAATTACTAAATTAATCTTATTGAAATGATAGGATAGCTTGTTAACTATTAGCAATTCAATTTCTTTTTTTGTTTTTTTTTTCAATTTCTCTGAACATCAGAAAAATAATTTAATAAAATTCATTTCCAGTAACAGATGATGAATTTATGTTCGCTCGTCTACCACCAGATCCACCACGGGAATGTCAAGTTGTTTCCACATCCGCTTATTCAGTCCGACTAGCATGGGCACCAGCATTTTCAGCTGATGATAAAGTTACCTATAACATACGTTACCGTATCAAGTTTGTAATAATAATATTTAATTAACTGAGAAAGATTTGATTTTGAATTTACTTTCTGAAAACAAACTATCCTCAAAATTGAATGATCAAACATGCATACTTCTCTTGCTCATACTATTTCCAATCTTTTTCATTTTACCACGAGAACAATCTCTGATAGTTTAGAATTTAGAAATTATATTTTAACGAAAGCTCAAACGATTACATTATAAGCAAACTAATCAATTTAGGCATCAAGAAGATAGTAAAACACGTGAATTACGTGGCATTCAAGGTCATTCGGCAGAAATTATGAGTGTTGATTCGTGTTCTTTGTATGAATTCCGTATCACAGCTGTTTCACGTTATGGTGAAAGCAAACCAGTTTATCTAGTGCAGTATACAGGTAGCAAAAGTTTTCCCCGGAATAACTTCTTGAAATTTTGATTGTAAATTGAAATAAGAATATTTGAAAGCATTTCATTTTTTTTTTTGAAAAATTTAGAAAAATGCTTTTTAGATGTAAAATGAAAATTATTTGATGAGTGGATTATTCTACAATTTTTTGCGCCTGCTAAATTTGATTTTTTGAATTTATTTTAATTTATTTCGTAATACTTTTAGCGATATGATAAATTAAAATGATCATGGTTTAAGGTTCAAAAACTATTTTTAAACCATTCAAATTTTGACGAAAAATTTGAAAGTTATCAAATAATAGAATCGTGATGCAAATTAAAAAAAAATATCTTATGATTAAATTTTATCTCTAAAATTATGTTACAATATTTTTGCAGAGCCACAACTTAGCCCACAACACATATTAGCTCAACGTTTAAACGCGAACACCATCGAGCTATCATGGGAACCGCCTTACAAACGTACCAGAGACGTGACGGTAGATATTAGTGGATTTTCCACCGTTACAACTTTAAAAATATATTCAATAAGTTATAAATGGAATAGTAATATTTTGAAGTTATGTAAGCAATTCAATATGTTAATTAATCTTTTCTTATGACATTTGAAGCGGTAGATATTTGTTCTTGAGAATATGAAAATGTTGTTTCCATGTATTATTTCAAAAATTGAAGCTTACCTCATAGAGATTCTTGACATTACTTGAGAGATTAGCTTGTCTAACTTAATCTTGAAATGAGATATCTTTCAGAATTACATTGTTTATTATACGGAAAATCCCAATGCTCATTTCTCAGTATGGGATCGAATTACAGTACGTGGACAACGAATAGTTTTTCCTGATCTACGTTATGATTGGTTTTATACATTCTGTGCCACGGCTTGTTTTAAGGATGGACAACGTTCACCACTATCTAGAGCATTATTTGTCAAGACTGATAAGCTGGAATTCCGACCTAAATGTTCGGGAATTCATAGTTTTCTTGAAATCTTAATGTTATCTACAAAAGTATTTCTCATATTTAAGAGAATAAAAGAATTTTTGATTTTAAGTTTGCCTAAAAATTTAGTGGAGAAGGTGAAGTAGCTTCTTTATGGGAAAGGAAAAAAGAAGTGAAAATGGTTAAACGAAAAAATGTATGAAACCGCTTGGTTAATTTTTAGAATATTTAAAATGTCCAAGATAATATGGACATTTTTTTTTTATTCTTCTATAGGTGTATTATTTTTTCTTCATAGGTAAACCGATTTATATCTCTTATGTATAAAATACAAATTATATCACTTTCAGGTGTTGGACAGTCACATACCATTGAAGTAATGAATACCTTACAATACTCAGAAGATGAAATGAATGAAAGAGTGCCCTTATTACCTCGAGACTATGTGTCATTCCAGAACTAATCATTGTGAATTAGTAAATAGGGTATATAGTCGAGGCATACTCACATTAAAATACCTTCGCTTTCTAAATTACAATTGTAAAATATAATTACAAATTAAACTAAAATGTATAGATCTCGAATTAATTTGTAATGGAATGGAATGAAATTTTTTTCAATTTCCTTCTACCAAATTTGGCCGCATTCAAATCAGTATTGTAAACTATTTTTGAGTGATCTATCAATATTATTAATTCCTCCTGAATAATTAAAATTTTTTGATTAAAACAGCTTTCATTAAAAATAATGAGAGCATATTCTATGCTAATTTTATCCTTTCATTGTAAATATTCAAGACTTGTACTTAAGACCAATGAAATTTTGTGCTTTAATAAGTTTCCTCAACAAAATTAGCAGCACATATTTTCAATTCACTATTTCATCCTATCATATTCTCTAATAAAACCATTTATATTTATTCTTGACTATTCATTTGCGACAAAATTGATGACGTATAAAAATGGAATACTTAAAAAATTTTTTGCATTGCAATGTGAATTCAACTTTAAGTTGACATTGGAAAACAAAAAAGTAACATCATGTTTCATCATGTTTGCTTGATCTCATTATTAGCGAATTGATGAGGAAATTTTGAAAGATATTTGCTCACAAAACATCCTACACATATTCAGATTTAAGCAGTACAAATAGTAAGACTGCAGTGATATTTGTATTCCATGAAGGTAATTAATTCGTCATCTCAATATGCTATGACTTCTTAGCTTGAACTTCATTCTACTCCTATCACAGCGAAAACTTGCGATCAGAAGTTCATTGAAATGAGCAAAATCTGTGTTGATCGCTTTTATACTTGTTCGGGAGATAAAAGAGGATAATGCAGGAAATTTTATCGTTGCTTCATTATCATTCTTGTAATGATAGAACAATAATAGCACAGTAGCGATTAATCATAATTTTGACTGTTTAAGAAATTTTAAAATGCATTAAAACGAAATCATTCCTTACTGACTGATGAAGTGCGCAATTTGTTTGAAAAACAGAACAAAGCGCACAATCCGTTGATGCAACTCTAATTATACGCTAAAAAATGCACACTTTTTGCAGAGTGAGTAGAGATTAATAAGAATTCGAAAATAACATAGAGTGAAGACATGAGAGAGTGATAGGATTTTCGAAGTAGCAAAATCTTGGGAAGGCAATTGATGGCTTAGTTATGTGTGTTATTTTGATCGTTCTTGATGGTTGGCTTGTTTTGAATAAGATTTTATGCCTTAGTTGAAGTGGTATACTTTCATGATATTGGGAATGTGTTGTTTATGTGAAATTTATAAACTTCATCGTATTTTTTTTTTCGATTATCCTCCTTTTTTAATGAAATCAACGAAAATGAAATTCGGTACTGATGAGAGCATTTTCGATGTTATTACAAATATTAAATTGAGTTGGAAGACAAAAGAACACCTTTTATCTGCGTATTTAGTATGAAACTTTTTCAAGATCATAGAATCTAATTATCATTTATAACTTGTTAATTCAAAAGCATTTTTGAAGTGACTTTTTTATCTGAGACTGAATGATTAAGCATTACTTTATTGTTGCTGTGATGTACTTATTGCTATTTATCACGCTATGCATTGTGTCTGAAAGAAAGTAATATTGCAGGATGAGGAATGGACTTGCAGAATCATTATCCAAATGGCTTACCGAATCGATGTACAATTTGGATATGTTTGAAGAAAGACGTGTGGTTGTTGTAGGAATTGTTGGAAAAGCTTCTATTGATTGTTCCAAAGCCGATCCAATAAATGAATTGTTAGGGCGTCCAGTTTTTATTCAACAAATCCCTGTGGAAGGTAGTACTGCTTCGGTAAGCAATTAGCTTCCTTTTTGAAAGTCGGAAGGAGAAGTGTATCATTGTGAAGTCTTATATTTACGTCAACTTTTTAAAAATTAGAATTTTAAGTTCCAAATTTTTGTCAGGATCTCGATTATTTACGAATATTTGTTGAATCGTACCACTTCAATTATGTGATGTGGTAGACGGAGCAATAAAAAGTGCAATTCTTCTTCAGAAGATTTATATATAGAACCATATATGGCGTTTATTTATTTCACAACTAAACGCATAACGAAACATTTTTGTGATCCTATACCTAAAATTTGTCTCGATCAAATATTCATTTCAATTTCAATACAATTGACAGTTTTAGATCGATGCGTATTATGAATCAGAATGGTCGGTTCTTTTTTTGCATCTTTCTGGCTATGGTGATTCGTGTTCACTGGAATATTTCGTACGAAATAATGATTCTGACCAAAAGGTATGAGTGCAAGGAACATTTTAATGTTGTAATTCAATTGTGTTTAAAAGGACCAGTTCTGACGCATGTTTATTATCTACAGATGAGTTCAGCAGGAAAATTATGATTTCAGTGCTTCATTTTTTCAATTTTAATTTAGTGGGAAAGTACGCTACTGAAGTATTTTTGGACTAAATTCAGACTAATTTTGAAAACTATGGTGAATTTGTACTATATAGTCTTTAATTTTTTATGTCTCATTCAAACTATGTTATTCATCATACAAGGTAATTTCTTTTTATATTAAACTTACGAATTTTAGGATTTCTTCGAATTTCTTTCGCAACAAGAAATCGATTATGCGCGATGCCTAACTTTTCTCCTGCTTTATTCACATATACTCATTTACATGGAACCAGGTTGTCGATTTGATCAGAGTTGTTGCCGCGATTTAAAACGAGCCAATGAATTTCGACGGTTTTGTCAAAGAGAAATTCGGACAAAGCTGTCAGCTATTACGGGTTTCCCACAGGGTTGGTCTGCTGAAGGACGTTTAGCACAACCGCGGTGCTTATTCACCTTTCATCGTCATTTGCTAAGGGGTGACTTAAATTCCAGCCGAAAGGTGTGTTCATTTTTGATTTTTTATTTTTTTTTAGTTGCAAGAATGCTCAACTATTGCAACTCTACACGTGTGAAATATTCGTTATATCAGCTTCGATGAGATGAAGAAATTTTTTAAAATAACTTGAAATGATTAAAAACTTTATTGTACTGCACATACGTTCTAAGGTACTAGAATTTCTCTATTCACGAAAGAGCATTTGCATAGGAGTATTTAGCGAAAAAGTGAAATCTGTATCAGAAGGTAGTGAGTCATTTTCAGTTTTCATTTGATATTCCTGGCCACTGGAAAATGGAGAGCTATATGACATACAGACTACCTTCGAAAGATGTTAACTGATTCTAAAAGAAAAGTTGATCAGTGAATGCTGTTTATATATTTAAAGTTTTCAAAAATTTTATTTAATTCAGAGAGAATTAAGGAGCAAACTAGTAGACAAATTAGAACAACAAATATATCGCTGCATGCAAATATATGGACTGGTTGCAGCTAACGATAAGTAAGTAGCTTCTTCATTTTCAATTAATGTGTCAAAATTTAACTGCTCTTATATAAATCATGTTGAAAGTTTTAAGACATAGGATTGCAATTTATCATACATTGCTTTTCCTAGCAGTAATTAAAAACTTTGAATCTGTATCGTTTAGGGACTGCCCATGTAGTTTACCGAAGTCCATAGAACAATCTGTCTACTTATTTTCGGCGAGAGAATCATCTCGTGATGTTATTCGCGACAGTTTATTAATGCTTATTGAACGTAGTAGCAGTAAAGAAGGGAATGACGGAAATGGAAAAAGGGGTATCGTTTTGCTTTTGATTTTGAATTTTCATAAGAAGTGATTTAATTTGTTAGCAGGAGCAGGACTGTGATTAAAGGAAATGAAGAGATATTTATAATAGAAATATATGCTGGATCCAAAAGCATAGAGATGTTCGGAAATAAGTATTCGAGTTCCAACGCTTCAATAGTGACTGCAAAATGCTTATTCATTATATTACTTGCTTTTGTACAGAGACATACTGAATAAAATGACTCGTCGTCCCACATGTTAACATTCTTGTAAATGTGGATATATATTTTATTTTTCTTACCGTTTTTTGTTGTCTCGTTAACTTGTCATCCACACTTAATTCATGAGATTAATTTCATGTGACGAGACATTGCAGAGAAGGACGAGCGAAACGGTTTTGGTAAATTTCTGCGGTTACATATCGATCTCATACGACAAGATGAAGAAAGGAGGAGATATCTTTATGAAGTTCGTTTTTTATAGAAATATTTTAATAAAATTTTTGCAATATCAGTTGCTTTTTCTCAAATTTGTAATTAATAAGTCATATTCATTTCTAATATTTCATAAAAAAACATATCTTTCAGCTAGATTTTATGGTTTTCTTCAAATAATTTCGAATAATCAAATAATTTTTTAAAATAATTATGTCAGATACCTATGCTGAAATGGCTCTTGATTGGTGGAAAAATCGTGTATGATCAGTTGTTTCAAATACGAATCCTGAGTGATGAGAAAATATACAAACTTAGTAGCCCTGAACTACATTTTTCCAAAAGGTAAAGTGACATTGTGTCTCTCAATAAAATCCATTGTAATTATTTGTTTCGGAATTAAATTCTATTTTACTTCTATTTTGATGGCTGCTTTTATAGTTTTTCTGACATACTTTTGTGCGTTGTTGTATCTAAATTTGAGGACTTTTCAAATTTTAATAACATTAGAAGCTCGGAAATTCTTAGTAAAAATCTAACATGAAATTTTACAGTGTTTTCTTCATTTTCTCCCCTTTTCATTTTTGAACTTGCTTTTCTTCGTCTATAAGAGCTCAGAAAATAATCATAAAATTTATTAAATAATAAAGATGTGCAAGTCATATCGTTATAAAATACTTAAGCATGGAGAGCACTTATATCGGACAAGCTAAAGCAGTATATCAAAATAGTAACAAGGATATGCGTGATTTCGAAAAGCGAAAATCACAGGTTTTCACGAAAGCAGAACATGGAGCTAAGGTTGGATTTATTTTCTTTTTAAATATAATCTTTCAAAATGTTTCGTTTCACCATTTGTAATACTGAAAAAAGGGAAGGACTTTAATCGGTTTCATTAGAAAAGCGGCAAGCCAGAAGCGCATAGTATATACCAAGAAATGACTGACAGAATTCGTTAAGAAAAATTTTCATAAGTAATTTAGTTAGCACGTGCAATGGAACATTTGGAATTCATTTATCATGGTACCAGATTAGAAAAAACCAAAGAAAAACTAAAGCAGGAATGCGAAGCTCTCTGGGCTACTCAAAAAGCATGTGAATTTGTTTCTCTCACTGGAAATGAATGTACTCTACCAGTAAGTTATTTTGCATGATATGAGGGGAAAATGATTTGATATGCTAGGAAATATCACAACACGAACTTTTAGAAATAGCTGATGATGTTATTTATATCCTTATCCAAGAATTAATCAGCAGATACCCAGAAGAGCTCATACAAAATTTGTGCAAATCTGTCGGTTTTTAGCAATTTTCTTAATGAAAAATTAGCATAAATAATATTAATACTACGGACTCCCGATTTCCTTTTGCCATTTTTACCACTCAAAACATTTTTACAGTGTAGTAGAATGTATTAATTCTTCCAACATAATAGGAATTAATAAAACTTCTTAAATTTAACTGATTCAGTGTTACGCTCGAAAAATATCATCAGGATCAATGCCTAATTTTCAGTTTTAACATAAAGATATGTGGAGCAAATTTTCTTGAAAGCTGAATATTGTGAATTTATTATTTTGTAAGAGGTGAATTTTTTCAGGTTCATTATTCCTTATCAGACTTAGAAGTGCCGGCCTCGAAACGAATTGCTCATTCAAGCGGAGCCCGTTTTCTTTCCACCTGTAATTGTGGGCATTCACAGACACTGCGCAATGATCCATTTTCATTACGTGTTCGTTTTGTTTCTTTTTATTGTTTATATTTTGTATTTAGTTGACTTCACTGGAACTATTTTAAGTTAAATTGAGAAGAAGCCATAAACTTACATTCAGCTTAAGTATCTGCAATGATAAAACTTAAAAATTTCAATTTATGTATGGACGAGCACATCCAAAAAGTACTGCATTATTGCAGGAAGCTAATTATGATTTCTACATGCAATCACAGTTCACATGTTGCAAAAATATGGAAGAGTATGAATTTGAAATTTTCAAATATGATGATACTACTGATGAATCATTGGATATGGAAAGTCTACCGGATAAATCGCAGAAATCAATAACTTCTCCAGAACATAGTTTTTCTGAATTTTCCTCAACATCGATAGGAGAGAGTAATTGTATTTCGGATTTTATGATTTTCTTTTTTATGATTTGTAAAAGCATCCTGTTGAAAACGCAAAGTAATTTACATGGTGCAGAACATCTCTTAGTGTTATCCTCATCTCTCTCCCTCTCCCAGTAGAAGTACTTACTGACAAATGATGATGTTCAATTATTATGATTTGAGGAAATTTATTTCGTTATCTTTATATCAATATGTTTAGATTATTTGAAAATGCTTTTGGATCGTGATAATCCTCTAGAAGAGGATGAAATCCAGCATGAAAGTATACAATCTCCCTTCAAAAGCAATTTGTGTAGTGAGTTTTAAGATTCTTCTTACTTTTTCTAGGTTTTCTTTTAAAATCTCTATCAGGTTAAAGGTTCTAGTATTTCAGCGGAAGGTACAGATATTGATGATGTTGACAAAGAATTGGAAGAAAAGAAGGTTTCGATATCGTCAGGGACGGAAAAAGAACAAACGCCTGAAGAATTGGAAAATATTGATGACGAGGAGGAGGAAGAGTATGTCAGGCCAGAAGAAGCTGAACAATCATTTCTAAAAATTACACGCCATCGAGCGGTTAATTTTTTCTTCCAGTTTTGAATGAAGATTAATCGTACAGGAATAAAAATTCTGCTGGAAGAGCCGATGTGATGTATTGAATTGATTTTTATTATCTTATATTTTTAAGTGTAAACAATTATAGCATATGGATGATTACGAATCGTGGTCACAGGAAGATGAAGAGGCTGTTCCAGAGGCTGAGGCACAAGTTTCATATCTTGATGATGATGATGTACAGCTACGAGTACCGGACGTAGATAACTTTAATAAGTTAGATAACTCCGCTATGAACTTTGAAGAAGAACTGGCAAAGTTAAGAAAATTATGTAAAGGTATAGATTTTACTATTTTTCTTTACATCCAGTTAGTTCAGGCTCTTATATCCGGCTTATCATTTATAAGATTTGTTTGAAAACTTTACAACCATAACTTTTTTTGCATTCACGACATGGCCGTCAATATTTATTATTTATTCATTTTCTTCTTCCTTCTTCCTCTTTTCTGGATTGTAACAGAAGTGTTACTTACAGGTCAATTTTTGGAATGTGTGCCAAATACAGAATCGCCATCTAGAAAGCCTCTTTTTCCTTCATGGTCACTTTTATGTCTGGGTGCATCGAGCTTGTACAGGTTTTTCTTTATTTATGATTAATTCAGTAAAATTAGGTCTTTGCAGTGTTGATTAATGCTTGAATATTATTTGGATTACTAATAGTTAACGAAATTTGATTTAGTCACAAGGCTGGTCTTCGCGATATGCCAAACTTCAAAAATGGGACACAATTTCTTCTACCGGCCGATGTTTTCGTAACAGTTGATCCTGAAAAATGGGATATTGATATGAGGGAAATTATGGGTGATTCATATGGCGTGAGATCGAAACGTTCTATCAAAGTGAACAAGAGTAATCGTGAAAAAGTTAAGGTACTGTATTTATTTTGCAGAAACTGAAATTTGAAGAATTTTTCAATGATATAAAAATATTCATTCAAATTTCACGGGAGTGAAAAATAAAAGGCCCGAGTTTTAAATTCATTGGAAATTTGTGCTTGATGTTAACAACCTCTGGCATATCTCAGTATTGGAGTTGCTTAAACTTTTTGAATAAATTCTTCTTTAATGATCGATAATTTTCGTTAAAACGAAATGGATACAAAAATAAATTCTTTAATGATCGATAATTTTCGTTAAAACGAAATGGATACAAAAATCGCCGAATAAATCATTTAGGTTGAATTTTGTCATTAATTATCTTAGCATTAAAGACTGTTTTTCACATATATTTTGATCTATTTATTTTTTAGCTGTTTGTTGGATTTGAATACGAATGCCCACGGGGACATCGATTTATGATCCAGGATGTGCATAACAACAGTCAGATGAAAGTAGCATCGAATTCAAAAGTATTTTTTACTTTTATATTTAAAATTGTGAATTAAAAAAATTTCTTTCTTCTTAGTGAGAGAAGTAAGTTTTATTATTGTTATTTTATTTAGCTATTGTTTGCAATAATCAATTTAAAGTAAGTGGTGTATGAGATCTATGTGTTTAGTTTTTTTAAGGGAAGCGAAATATTCAGAGAAAAATGAGATTGGATGTCTAAACTATGTAACTAAGAAAATTTTATATTATATACTGAGTATACTAATCCAAACATTACGCTTTTATCCCAATCTTCCTTGTGAGAGAAAAACTCAGCATAATTATCAATGAATGATTTTTTATTTTTATTGTTGTTTAATTATAATAAGTTAAAAAAACTCAGTTGATTCATATAAATTCAGAGATTCTTCAGGAATTAGGATCAGCCTTGATTCGTTCAGATTTACCATTGTGGACTAAATGTACATGTCGTCGATTGCCTCAAGTAAGTGCTCAGTTGATGCGACTCCATGTCGTCACTCCTAAAGCTCCAGTTACGGTCATCTTGAATCCTCGTGTTCAGGTTTATTCTTCTTCATCATTCTTAATAATAAATGGGAATAGTAATCTTACTGTAGTTCATGAAAATATATTTCTCATGTTTAATATACCTGATGAAATTGATGAATTGCATATTTCTAGCCAACATCAAAAGAGCCAATATACTATACAGGAGAAGCGCCCATACATCTGGAATGGGGACGTTATTATGTTCTACGTTTTCCTTACATTTATGCTGGACCGCATGGAACTGTTCAGCGACCCAATGAGGCCACAATATCAGGTAAATTGTTGGCAAATTGTGTTGAAGTGCTGTACATACCTAAACATTAATTATGAACCTTGCGTATATTTGTCTTTTTACACCGTTTGCTTAATTTTTCATCATGATGAATTGATGATTTAATGAATGGAAGTGAGGAAGTTTGACAGATTTCTTTTAAGGATTTTTGTGTAAGGATGGAAAATCTGTTTCATTGTACAAGTTAGGATTCGCAGGGATTTTTTTTCTTTTTGAAGCTAAAGTTGCATTTAAGACAGTATTTTTTGAGGAACATATATTTTCTACGGAAAATTTAATGTCATAACGGTGCGTTTTTATGTTTGTGGTATATTATAATTTCAGCTAATAAGCAAATAACTAATAAAATTGTTGTGATTCAATAGCGCTGGTCTACTGAAAAAGCATCTGACTTAATTTATTCATTTGCTTACTTTTTTACATTAAATAGTGTTATGGATTGAAAAAGATAAGAATGTAATTTTCAAGATATTGGTGAGGAAAGGATTAGAAAGATTGAGAAGTTTTTAAAAGGGTTTTATTGGTGAATTATAATGGTAGAGCTGGGAGCAACACTAGTTTAAGCAATAAAATGTTGCAATTGTTCAGATTTTTGAATACCTTGCAATTTCGAATTGGGAACAGTAGTATTTGAATATCTTTAAGATAGGATAATATGTGCACTGTAGAATTTAAAAGTATCATGAATAAACATGTTTAAAATGCTGATAATCGGATTATAATATTTTGAAAAATCAGTGATCATCAGTAGACGATCAGTCATGGTAAAAGTGAAATGATATTACTAAAGTCGTGAAATACAACTTTTTTTACATCCAGTATCATGTCACCACTACAAAATTGATCATTGAGAAACAGTTCCAGGGAGGACATTCTCAAAAAGTTTTTTGGTCATCAATAAACAGAAGTTTTGTTTTAAGATTAAATAGAAATATTTTTGAAAGTATCATTGCTGAATATTTTCTCACTAATTTAATGCATGAAAGAAGGCTTTTTTCAAAAATGTTCGGTACTGAGCAAAGGTATAGCATTGTTAGCGCTCATTGATTTTCTTGCACAAACACTTCCAGTGGCTTTTTGTCTCTTCGATGATAGGAATATTTTATTTTCATTCTTTCCTCTTCTGTAAGCAAGCTTAACTGGTGAATAGATGTATTTAAAGCAACAGGATCTGTACTTCGTAAGCATCCTGCATGCTTTATATCTTTTTATAGTGCAGTAGATATGACAAAAGTGTTTTTCGCGCATTGATTTCCAATTGTCAACCAAGTATATAATAGATTTCATTTTATAAAGTATATTCTTTATCACATTTTGTTGTTTTAGTAAATTTGAAAATACATCATTCGAATTAAGCATTAAAAGTTTACATCTCTATTGAAAATAGTTTTCTTCCAAATTGAAAATTTAAATCATTTCAATATCCGTTCAGTTAATGTCCATGTTAAATCATTTGCATTACTCCGTGTGAATAGATATTTCCTATTTCAAGAATATGATTTATGTCAGTTGTTAATTAATTCCGTATAGTGTCTTTCTTCACCTTTGACTCTTACATTTTAATTAGCTATATCAGTTGGAATAAAAAAATACTAAACAATCTTTAATATTTCTTTTGATAGCACAACAGCTCACGCTACCAATGATATTCAAATTGATAAAGCTCATTATTGTGGAAAAAAAAAATCTAAATCAAATCCCATGAAAATTTCAACGATACTTCTTTTTTAACAAATGCATTACATCCTTACAGAATCGTTAGTTTTTCTGCTGATTGTTATAAAAGGCAAAATTATAGTAATAAAAAATCATTCAGTAATGGGATGAAAAAAAGTTTGAATGTGATTGCAAAGTATGCTATATAATTTTAACATAAATTGCATTGAACATCAATAAATTTGCAGAGACTAATGTATTGATACTTTATTTTGAATATCACATAATTATATATCAGGTTAATAAATCATCTCAAATGAATAAAGTTTGAGAAAAAAATTTTCGAAACTTCTAAAAAAGAGTGGTTGGATTACAGAATAATTTCCGTTTCTAAAAGAGATTGATAACTATAATTTTGGTCGGTAATACTATATATTTAAAAATGTTTTACTCATCACCCCATTATTCAACCGAAATTTAACAATGTAAAAAAAGTCTTAGTTGATTTCCTTGATTTAAATGTAACTTTTTCTCAGCCATTTGCAGCTGCATTTTATATCTTTTAAACAAAATATAAACATCCCGAAATTAATCGTTTCAATTGCTATCACTGTTAATTTATTAAGGTTAAGAAAATTTTGCGAAATTTCAAAATTTAAAACAATTCTATAGGCAAATTAGGAAAATGAGCAATGAAACGAAGAAACTTTTTGTCAGCTGATTTTCATTTCTTCGAATAAAGTTTGATGAGAAGTGTTCAGATTTGATTTGCTTTGTGGCGATTAGTTTAAATTAAATTACGAAATACATTACACAATATAGTAATGTGTTCATCTTTGCTCTAAATAATTTAATTCCATTCTAATTTAGTATCCTAATTGACTTAATTCACTGTCTGGGAAAGCTAGAAATTGATTGGAACAAATCAACTCGTTATTCAATTTAATCAAATGCTATTTTTTTGAAGGTTTTTTTGTTGGAAAATTTGAATTACAGGGCTGCAGTAAAAATCAACTATTGTCTGTTAAATGTCTTCATATAATGCGATGATTTGTTGAACTGTTAAACTGATGAAAAAATCTTAAAATTATATTGACAGTATAATTTAAAAAAATTAGAAAATCGATGTTTTGGTTTTTAAAATTATCAATCAAGAAATGAGGAAGGAAAGAACTAAAATGCAATTTCATAAAAAGTCCCTAAGCATATCAATAAAGCCTCATTTGAATGCACTTTAATATTATCAAATTGTTCACAGATATAAATTTTAAATGGGAAATTCTTTGATTGAAGAAAATAATTTTCACTTTTTGTTGTCCTTAAATGATAATTTCACCGAATCTAACTTGTTCCAAATCTTCCAACTTGAAATTTTCAAGATAATAAGATGAGATTACTTTTTATTGAACTTCATTAAAAAATCCATCAATTTATACTTCATTTACATGAATATAATGTATTATCAATTTTCACGTATTACTGCACAAAATGGCGTATTATCGAGGCATCATTAATTACAATTTCTAATGATTCATTGGAAACTAGCTTAATTTGGCTTAAATTCTTTTGGTCATCAAGAGTTCATTTATTAGACAGCATTTTAAAGCAATATTTAATAGATTTCAAGTAATCCAATTAATTTATAGCCCAGATATTACCTCATTTTAGTGATAACATATGCTATATATATATATATATGCCATAGCAAATTAATTCTGAATTTTTACAACTTTTATTAATAAGTTATTAATCTGATCTTTGGCCTAAATGACTTTTGAATTATTATGTGTAAAATATTTTGCTCTAGGAGTATTGCATTTTAATAACATAAATATTGTATATATGAATTTACAATGTTGCTGCAAAATGTAATCACAAATCGGATGCTGATAGGGTATTGATATGATGTGAATTGGAGCTGATAATGGAAACACCAACGAAGGTTACTGCAGTAGTAATTAGAAATGTTGTACTTGCAATGAAACATGCAAATCGAGTTACTGTCAAACAATATCGCAATGGTTTATCGGATAATGAAGGATTCAAAATTAACTGTTCTGATTCCAATCCTGTAAATAATTTTTTAAATTAGAAACAGTAAAGACAAATAGCAACAGATTATTGTAGATTTTAGTATGTTAAATCTGTTGTGAACGAGTCAGATATTTCTAAATTTCACGGATTATTATTACATATTTTTTTTATTTTAATTGCTGAATACTAATTTTATCATTAAGAATGAATGATAGTAAAAGATAAAAATTCTTTGCAGCATCTTTTATTCGATATTTCCTTCATCGATTCTTGATTTCATAATTAAACAACGAATATATTTTGGGGGTTGATAACAGATAAAAGATTAACTTCACTTTTATAAATTCAAACAAAGAGAAACTATTCGAAGTGAATAAAATGAAATGCGTTATAAGTTTTTGTTATCAGGTTTGTATTAACAACAATGAGAAATATTACTGGATGTACTGAGTAAGTAGCCTTGATTGACAAGTAAGTAATAACTTAACTCCTTATGAGTGTTTGAATAACACTCATATGTTATATTTTAATAACCAGAATAGCCTGATAATCAGTAGAAGAAAAAAATCGTAAAGTTTCAAGCAATTTCAACACAATACCTTGAATAGTATCATCCAAGTCGATGATATTAATCGTTGGTGTTCGAAGAATCAAACTCTCTCGGCTAACATTGAACAGATCACGACGTTTTCGTCTACCATTAGCGCAATTTGGTGGCTACAAAATGATCAGAAATTCTGAATCACTCAATGTGATAATAATTTATTATTTAAAGAGTTTCGAGTAGTAAGGAAAGAGAAATACAAATAAGAGAGATAGCAGATAAGAGAGATACAAAGAAGAGTGATATTACATTACCATGCAGAGTAGCAGTTTTAGAAAACTTTCTACTAAGTAATAACTAAAAATTCAAATTGCTAAAATAGACAAAAAGGTAATCTTATTCTAAAAGTTTTTTTTTTTTTGTGAAACAATTATTTGAGTTTTGATAATTTTTTACTGAGGAAGATTGATAATTGCTTACCAAATGTAAAATATTATAGCAATGTCTCTAATTTCAATTATTGCTAAATTAACAACTTTTCATATTGAAATCCAGTTTTTATTAAAAAAATGAATTGAACAAAGTGCAGAAATGAGAAGAAAATTGACAAAAAAAGGAATGGTACAGTGTAATCTTATTCTAATCAAATGAAATTTAACTGACATCAGTTTTGAATTGAAGATAAAATTTTCTCAGCATCAATTTTTATTTTCTAGAATTCTGCACAAAATATTATTTCTTGTTCTAGAAAATCTAGACTTTTGATTTGGCACGCTTTTAATTGCAAACGATAAATTTTGTATTATTTAAATCCTCTGTAATTTTATATAGAAAATAATCCGTTGAGAAAGAATAAGAGATTAATTTGAATTTTCTAATCGAAGTTGTGACAGCTTCCAACAAAATAAGATGGATAAGTTATCGAAAGAACTTTAAATGTATTTCATTCTTCTAAAATATAAACTTTATTGCTCTTAAATTAGTCTGTTCTCGAGAATTTCAAATTAACAAAATTCAATAATTCAATTCATCTAAGCTAAAAATTTAACATATTTCAAAAAAAAAAAATACAAAATTAATCCGTCATTTAAGTTACTTCACATTCACACAAAACAAAATGAGATCTCAAAATATTCAGTTAGTTTGAAGTTTCACAGAAACTTTGTATAATAAAAAAAACCCGTCAGGACATCATATCGTCGAAATTATTCGGAAGAAATTGTTCATAAAATTTAATAAGAGAAAAGCTTACCGTAATTAATTCGCAATCTTGTTGACCTCGTACACAAACAAGGACATCACATCGGAAACCAATTTGGGAACGATCAGGAAATTTGAAAACAGGTGCACGTATTTTGACTGACATCAAATCTGATGCATATTGTAAATTCGGTAAAATATACGGATCCAATGAACATCTCAAAATAATAGCACTGATTCAAAAAAATTAATTATATTCAAATCACTTTAAAAACAGCAATAAAAAGTATGTGAATAAATGTCATTGCCTGTATTTCATACTAATTACAGTTATACGGATTCATCATATCAATTAAAAGAATAGCATGAAAGTTATATAAAATTGCTACCACGAAATTTATACGATTATAAGAACTATGCTAAAGTAAAAATCAAACATCATAAATCAACAAATTAAAAAGTTTTTAATGACAGCTACATTTCTTTCTTCATTTCAATTTTTAATATATAATGTATATTTCAAAAAAAAAAAAAAATGTTGCGTGCATTGAAATAATAATAAATGATTTTGCTCTTTCTGCAGATATCATATATTAGAATTAAAAAAATATGCAATTTAAATAGACTAAAAATATTAGCTCTAGAAAATCACGTCAACATTTTGATCTATGCATTAAATGTAAATTAATGAGACGAACCCATTTTCATCGATAACAAGAACCCTAAAGTTATCATTGGTTTCTGCATAACAATTCCTCACTAACATTGCATGTACTCCTGAAATTTTTCTTTTTCTAATTTCAGAAAAAATGAATAAATTTAAATTATAATTTCATTCGACAATAGCTACGAATAAGTACTGTAATACAAAAATGTTATTAGAAAATGTAGAATAATCGTTGCAAAGAAATAATAGAATAAAATAACCTTGAAAATTATGATTTCAGTGAGTTTCATAAATAATATCTACGATTGTCTTTAATTTAATTTTAAATTACAAAATTTCCGGATAATCTGAAAAAGACAGATGTGCAAAATTTCCAATTACCTTAAAGAAAAAAAAAAAAGTATCTTCAATTCAAAATATTTTTCAATAACCTTTGAAAGGACTTTGACAAATCCATTGATGATCAACGAGCTCACCAACTCGAGCATTAGTGATTACACTCCCAGATGGACTCTTTACTGTATAAATGCATTGCGGTGAATTCATTTTCGATTCAATTTCTATACTTGGCGGCATACTAAAAAAATTCTGGAGGAACTTCCAATTCATCATATACTTTAAATGAGAATTAATTTAAATTGACTTTTCTCTGTGAAAGTATAAGCTGTCATAGAATGGAACGATAAGTGAAACAGAATGATTTGTGGACTATTCTTGATTGAGTTCAAACTTCGCTGTATTTTGATATGTACTAGGTTGAATGACCTGACAATTTCGATAATTCCAATGAGTAAATAAAAAAATTTAAAAAAAAAAAACTAACCTAACATTTAAATCAGCATCGATTGTTTTATTACCTTCCATATAGGCACATTGAATACGAAATGCTCGATCAAGCTTGGTAAGAAGATTTTGATGAAAGCTAACAACTATTGATAATGATATGATCATTGCACGAGGTTGTGTCTGAAAAGAAAATGACAGATAGAACAATTTAATTCTTTTCAATTCTTTCAAATAATTGGAAAAGAAAAGTTAAAATGCTAAAATGCTTCGATATTTGTCATTGAATTAATGATATTTTTCTCATTTCTGTTAATATCAATATTTTAAACATTTTACTTATTGTTTTTCTATTATACGATTAATATTAATTAATTCAATTCTTTTTTTAATTAGGTAAAATTTAGTTTTATAAATCATTTGGTTATAAATTTTGTCTAAAATTATAAGGTAAACATATATGTAATGAGATATTGTAAATTGTTTTCAGCTCAGTTAAAGTTGCTTACATTGAGCAGTTTATTTTAAAATGTCCTTGACCTTCTTATAGACATCGTTAAAAGTTCCGCTCTTTTTATTCTCAAAATTTTCTTTTGATTTACTTACTCAAAATGACTATTAAATTATCGATATTATATCGTCTTCATTCAAGGACATAATAAGCACTTTTCTTTTTTTTTGTATCCTTTTTGATTCAATATTCTTTATTTATTTGTAAAACAGAAAAAAAAAGCACCATATGCTCATTAAATACACATTTAGCATTTTTTGCAGAACTTTTTTTTCTAACACACCAACAAAAAATTTGAGTAAAATTAAAGGTAAGCAAAAAAAAAAAATTCACAATATTTAATGAAGTTCTAAGGTTTAAAATTTTGTATAAAGAAAATTTTTACTGATTCAATCAAGCTACGTTCTAATATCGTATGACTGTAACTTATAAAAATTCATCAATTTCTTACAATATAATTAATATTGCAATTCATCGATTCTTGTAAGTGCCTTAAATAATTTTCAATTTTTCAATCTCGAGATTTATAAGAAATGCGATAGCTCAAAAGGTGATTTATCGGTGACTGTTTATCCAATAATATTGATAATTTGAGATTGAATAATTCAACAATCCAGAGAGAGAGAGAGAGAGAGAGAGAGAGAAAGATGGCGAAGAATGCAAAATAGATTAATAAAAAGATAAGCATATACCTGTTGCTCATATTTAATATTACAGGTGCCAAGTCTAATAAGCAAATCAGCAGTATTTTCGATAGCTTCCCATTGTCTGTTAACTTTCAGCTCATCCGAACAGATCGGACATGGCGGGCAATGAGATGTTATTGAAGCTGTTGTCAATATCGAATTATCATATTCATGCTTAGCATTGAAATCAAAATCTTTTGATGATTGCAATTCTGCTGTAGCAATATTTGATCGATGATCTATAAAAATAGATTTACTTCATTTATCTACTCCAATTTCTCTTCCGGTAAGGCTATCTTTCAGTCATACTGTTAAATGATAAATCATATTGTTAAGTGATAAATTACTATCTTTGCAATTGCTATACAGTTTTAGAGTATTGAAATGACCAACTTCTGATGTTAATATGTTAAGTAAATTTATTTTCGAAGATAATATTTTCTAACTGTGTTATCTTTGAACCTATAATATTTTCAGTGATAAATTGGACAGTAATTTTAAATATTTCATTTGTTCTATATAATCTTTCGAATAATTTATCTAAATGAAAAATTTCATCCAAATTTATTATTTCAAGATTTCAGCTAATTGAATTGTGAAATTTTCAGTGTGAACACTTGTACAGCGATTTCTATCTATCATAGCTTTTTCATCAACCAAACTAAATTTTTTTTTTCTGCCTTTTTCTCTTTTCCATACATTTTTTTTTTCTTTTAATCACAATGAAATTGTCCATTCAGTTTTTAATCTCAGTGAAATTGTCCATTGTCCATATTTTATGAATTTCTTACTGTGACCTGTGATAAATGTTGTGAATATTTTTGAACTTCATATTGTACTGATAACTGAACATATTTGCTGTGTCATTTATCAACCAATGATTGTGAAGATGATATAAACGATGGAATTTACTTATCTCGTCAAATGAATCGTTTCCTTTTTATGCAGGACTGTTTTACAGTCTTTGGAAATATTTATGTTAACTAAAGGTGAGCCGATCTATTGATTGAAGGTTCAAAATTTTGGAAATTGCAATTTTATAATTTGCATAATATTTAATTGAGTTGGAATGAATACCTTTCTAACTTTCATTTTTTTTTTTTTTTT